CAGCAGAAGTGGTGGGGGGGGGGTGACTGAAGAAGAGGCAGACCTTGGTGGAAGAGGAGATGAAATCATTGGTGAGCCTCAGATATGTTTTCTGCAGGTTGGCCTTGATACCCCTGGGAGGCTCAATGGTCATTTTGGTACCATTCTGGAGAATGGACACCGGGAACTTGTCGCTGGGCAGGCTAGTGAGCCACAGACGGAAATCCCTGTGCACCTGTGGAGAGGGTTGGACAAGTGGTGCCCATGAAGAGTAGAAGAAATAACTAAAACTGTCCAGGTCATAGTACAGTCCTGTGCGATAAGTCTATAGATCAACTCATCAAGGCAGTTCTGTTTGTGTCTATAGTTTTGTGTGTGTCCATACTCTTTTGTGTATGTACTGCATGTGCTCTGACCTTTCCTGTGTTGATGTTTCCAACGAGCCTCTCCAGAGAAGGCATCCAGCTGGGCGCCAGGTGACAGTTCTGGAAAAAGACCCAGTGACCTCTTTCCATGGCAGTGCGCATCATAGCTTCAGCCCAGGGGCCCTGAATCACATAAACAACAGCAGAAAAAAAGGCAGATAAAAAGATGACAACCAGACTTGTCTCAAAAATAGAAATCTTAACATGACAGCATCAATGTTTCAAACAGTTTGATCCTGACTTAAGAAGTGGTTAACATAGGGAACATTTGGGCTGTGGGATACAGCACAACTCCCTACAAATGTTCTAGCAGTCTTTCAGGAAGACTTGAGTCCTCAGTTCACTGTAGACAGAAACTATGGAGAAGGTGATGCAACAGTCCAACATCAGAAATTGCAAGTAATGTGGTAAACACCTACTGAACACCCATAGGAGTATGTTGCTGGGAGAATGTTTTACCGGTCACTAGGTTTCAGATTTATGGAAGACGAGTCTCTACTTACTATTACTAAAACCCGCACAAGAGGTTTTAATGGTTGTTTTGTGAGCTCAGTTGTAGTGTTGTGGAATCTAGCATCTGTCACAGTAGAGTGGTACACTGTACTGGCCTTTAGTCAGAGATAGAGAAAACAATTAGCACTGAGGTGGCCATTCTCAACAAGACAAATGAGAACGACCTGGTTCTGTGAGAAAGTGATATAGTGGCCAGTTCCCCAGGGTTAGAGAGAGTGTGTGAAAGAGAAAGAGAGAGAGAATTCCCAGGCATCCAGCTGGCACTGACCTGGCCCTGGCCGAGAGAGATGGCACTCATTTTCTTGGAAAACCGCATGACGTCAGCAAACTTGTAGAGGTCAGCAGCAGGGTCAGTGCCAGGGGAGAGAACAAAGATAAGGGGAGTGCAGGGAGATGACTCGGTGAAGACTGCTGACAGGTCTGACGTCTGAGAAAAAACAAAGAGAGGAGTAACAAGCCATAAATAATTCTGCAGCATACCATAGAGTACACAACCAGAAAACATTTTCAGATAAAGTTAGCAGAACTAACTCTATACTCCAAACATTAAACATTTGCTCTGCTATAAACCCAGTCAAAACAAATGGGGCCATTATTACCATATTAATACACCACATCTACTCTTTCCAGCCACAGCCACTGAGACAAGAATAATTTTGTCTCACTGCATATGCATAGGTTTAAACATGAACATTAATGCAAGAGCGAGAAAAGGGACTCTACACGAGGCTCTATGAAGCGCTGTCCTAACTGAGCTGAAACAAAGTCCTGCAGGCCTTGAATGAGGCAGTCAGCCCTCAGACAGCGAAGGATCAGCAGCTTCTGGAATGAGTCCAGCTTTGAGTCCCACCCTCCTGGGAGGGGATCCCTATAGGTATACAAACACAAATGATTAATAGGTACTGACTGCCTCTGCACAGTCCAAATGAAGGAAACAATGTGCATTTGCTAACAGAAAGGTCATTTCTGCATGCCTGTGAGGCTGGTTGCTGTCAAAAATTCTCTTGAAACCCTGCAGATGTTCAGTGAAGCTCTCTGCCAGGTTGCTGAAGTTGTCCAGAGCACTGAGGCTCAGAAGGTCCTGCCAGGCACGCTCAGACAGCCAACTCACTGCTGGGTTGGTCAGCTCTCGAACAGGAATCCCTCCAGACAGGAGAAAGCGCCACTCAGCCTGAAACAGACACCACACAGATTCATCAGATGCACTCTATTAATTACAGTATCTTTCTACAAGTTCTTGGAGATTAAACAAGATTATACAAACAGGCATACAGTCAGACTGCAAAACTCCGTGTTTCTCACCATGTTAATTTTGCTCTCATTCATCATAATGCGAACACACAGGAGGAAGGCGAACATTAGTTTGTGCTTCTCAAACAAACTACGGCACACGTTGCTGTACAAGCTGAAGGTGAAAAATTCATTGATGTTGGCGATTCTATTCTCCAGCGTGTCTGTGAGAAACATGTCAAGAAAAAGTGAGTGGTAGGAGATTTTTTATTATTTTTTTTTACATAAGCCAGATTTTTCCAAAATTCTGTGTATAGTTTTTGCAACCAAAGTGCATTATGAAATTTACTGTGGAATTGCTTTCTACCTGCTCTCTCAGAGTTGGCAATGCCAGCTTTGAAGATGCCAAGGAACCATTCCAGAGAGTACTGGTACATTGGATCAACACCGGACAAGTCTGATACACAGAAGAAGAGGATCTGTGTACGCACAGCCACCGGCACATATTCTAGACGGGTGGCATCAATGTCACGTTCTGTCTTCTCTGCTGCCAGTACTTTGGCCTAAACCAGCACAGAAACCAGCTTGTGTTAGTATAAAATCCAACACTGGTAGCCTATCAGTTCAGTGACAAAGTACTGAAGTATCATATACTGTATTAGGTGCTGGAGGGAGTTGTACGTGAGAAAAAAAACACTTCCAACATTTATGCTAAAACCTTAATCTCGCCAGCTTTGATCCCAGAAGCCTCCAGCACTTGGATGAGCTCCTCATTGTCCACCGGGTTTCCCTCTGTGGAGCTGAGTCGGAGCAGGATCTCATCTTCAATTTCTTTCAGGTCCTGTTTCATCTTGGCGTTGCTAATGATCAGCTGGTTCTTAGCCTCCTCCAGGTCTGGATGCTCCTCAGCCACCACCTGGCCCAGCAACTGGTCCTGTAGACCACTGAATCCACACAGCATGAACATTTACACCAACAATGATAGCATGAGAATAAAGGATTTTTTCAGAGATACCCGTAAACAGGAACTTGCATTACTATTACTTACAAATACGGACCATTCATAATGGCATGCCTACGTCTTATATTTCAATAAATACACCATTGGTGCATGATTTGGATGGATTCCAGGCTCAGGTGTTGAGATTTATTATCAGGTTTGCTTGGCCGCTCTGCCTCCCTCACCTTTCCTACTGTCTCTTGCCCCATTACTCTTATCACGTTCACCTGTTCCTCACTCCCTTATCACCAGCTGCACTTGATTAGGTCACTCACTATATTACCCGGTTTCACTCCTCAGTCACTTGCCAGTTCTTTCTAGTCAGTAGGCCAACTTTTCTCCGTGCATTTACATTGTTTTTGTATGTCTTTCTCCCCTTGCCAGCTACTGTTTTGTGTTCCCCCCATGGACTGTTCCTCTGGACCGTGGCTCCACTCTCTCCTCCCAGACAGGTCAATGCACAGTTGCCTATCTTTTTCCACTATTGCCTTCATCTCTCTGTCTCTACCTTCAGTAACCACCATCACCGTCGACCAGCCCAGGAGTGACCCCACCTACACAGCTCGGCCCAGCTCTCCATCTCCTCACCTCCTGCGGTTGGTCAAACACCCGGCTACTACTCATCTACAGGACTACGTATCATTTCCCTCTGTGTTTTTGTCATTCCCTTGTTCACTGTATATAATAAATCACTGCTTGCACCGAAGCCGGCTACCTGGGTCCGCCTCTTTCCTCGTTCGCACACTGACTGGTGCGAACGGCTCCTAACATTTATAACTAGACAGCACTCAGAGAACACAAATCTCCACCAAGGCAGATCAGTGTCCCCATAATGCCATTACACCTAAAAGCAATATTCCCATGGTAGTTTGACCCTCATAATACAATTCCTTAACCTTTATAAGATATGTGCTACCTGGGTGACAGGGTGAAGTTAATGAGGGTGACTTTGGCAGAAAGCTCAGGAGAATAGTGCGGGTTTGGCAACTTGGTGGTGATGTACAACTTGAAGCTTTCATGGTAAGGAATGACTCCATCACCCAGCTTCAGCACTGTGCCACCTTGTTGCTTAAATGTCTGTAAACCATAAATGCAGTTTAAGCAGACCGGTGTGTGGCTGATATTTGCATAACACTGGCATACAAATGTTTCTAGTTTGTTATAAATGTGTATATTCACCTGCTGCAATAGGACAGGTTCTAGAGCTGGATCTAGCTCCTCTCCTACATTCTCCAAAAGACAGGGTTTACCAAAGCGAATGGCATTCTCAAGACTGCGGAGGAAACCCCGGTCACTGAGCTTTATAACCTCCAGCCCGTTTTCTCGCTCCTGTAGGACAACAGGAAGCAAACATGAGTGAGCAGTGGATGACAAATAACAGCAAATACTGACAAGCTGTCTAAAATAGTTGTGGGTGGGGCTGCACTGAACTAGAATCCCAGCAGTGGCAATTATTGGTCCTGGTAAACAAACTAGAATTTTAAACTATACATGTGATGTGAAGAAATACATTAAAATCTTGACATGTTTATTATCTGGCCATCTCACTGGCACCCTCTGCAGCTATGATCAGATCAAAACACAGAAGAAAGTGTCCTCACCATGTTTTTTATCCACGTGTTGGCTTGTCCCTGAGGATCAATGAACAGAGCCCAGCGCAGAGAGTACTGGGCAATCACACCATTCTCTACTGAAAGGTGATCCTTGGGCAAACCCGATATCTATGCATGATGATAAGGTAAACAAGAATAATTTAAGTCAACAAGCATGCAAAAAAAAAAAAAAAGTTAGTCTGATGTCTGGTTATTAATGGTTAAGATCCATGTTAGGAGGCTTTGACACTAAGGGTCAGCTGATGACAGTTTGGGTCTGACCTGCCATGAGCGGATCTTGACTTGATCTCCTAGGGTGTTGATCAGGTTGGCTTCATCAGTGTGTGGAACCCTGAGCTCTTTGAAACAATGCAGCCACTCTGCTGCCATGGCTGCCCTGTATTCTCCCTAAACACAAAAACAATGCACCTTACCTTCATGCAAATTATTTAGCACTGCTGTGCTGTTTAGCACAAATATGTGTGAGTACTGGAATAGACATAAAAACAGTGACATGTTCTTCATAATTCTGTTCAAATTCAATAACAACATTTACAACTTTTTTACCAGGAAAGTCTCACAGTACTGAATCATAAAATTGCAGTTTACTGAAACATGCGATATTAAAATATAGTATGGGTAAAGCAACTTTTTAATGTGTTTAATGTATTTTTAATGTACGCACAGTCATGTTTTCACTGAGTTACAACCCACTTACAGTGAAAGGTCCCAAGTATGCTACATATCCTGCAGATAGAAGCACATCGCCTGCCACATTATTGACCATATTCTCCAGACTTTGCACCGTTTCCTTCCAGCGTACCTCCTCATCTGCCAGTCCACTGGTAAGCTGAAGAAAATCAATGCATCTTTATGACATAACTATCAATATTAAAGCTGAATATGTTGACATTAAATTCAAAAATGTAAAAACATTTCTATGAGACACAATTATACTGTATTTTCTTTGGCTTTGCCATTTAAAAGCAGTTACTGTCTGCATTCTATTTGTATTCTGCTGTTTACAAGGAGTTAGATTGTATTCATCATGCACACAAACTACTTGATATAAATTTCATCAACTATCTTTACTAATAGTACTATTAAATCTATTATGTCACAATTGCATTACTGATTTTGCACATACATCACATTTAAGCACATTGGTTTAGGGCAATGTACTGTATTTAGTTTTTAACTTTGATTTACCTGTTGTGTGTGCATTTGTTTTCTACTTACATCCTATTCTATTGCTCAGGTTTGTGCTGTTGTAATGCTAAATTTCCCTCGAGGAGAGCTCAGGGAAATTTTATCCTATATCTTTTCCCTCCTTCTGACCTTGTCTGCTCGGACGCGACGGGCCTCACACAGTTGATACTTGTTGTCCAACTCTTCTTTCTTAGCCAGACATTCTTGGTACTTGGCCTGCAGTGTTGCAATGCCACCGTCCACCTTTGCCAGCTTTTCTTTGGCATCATCCAGGCTGCGCTTGGTCACTGCTAAGTCCTCCAGTGCCACCTTGAGAGCTTGCTGTACAAATACTCACATTTTTAGAGTTTAGTTTAGTAGTTTGACACTCATAAGTGAAGAAACACGTTTGAGTAGAGTGGTGTCACAGAATGTCTTAAACAATTACCAAGACAGTGGCTTAAACAGGGATTCCAGTTTTTACCTTTTTAGGTTTCACAGCCTTGTTCACAAAGTGATATACATGCATGGCTCGGACCCACTGGCAGATAGAGGTGCAGGCTTTGGAAACCTTGGAAATGGAGGCTGGCTGGAATTCTTCATTATCTATGTAGGGCTGGATTAAACTGATCACATTATCTGGGATGTTGTCCTGCAGTGATTAGAGGCACAATAAGATGCTTTAAATACATCTCGCAGATCTCACACAGGACCAGATCAGCATGAAAAATAGTGCAGAATTTATAAAATCTGAAAGTGGTACTAATCAATTGGCGTAGCAAGAAATCCACCAGCTATATGCTCTACCTTCTCATAGTTGAGCAGGCTCTCCAGGAACTTGCCAGGGTCTTGCAGCAGACTCTTGCCAGGTTCCCAGTAGTCGTTAACCTTGGTACCAGGCATGTCTCCAGGCACTTTTTTCGGTTTGATGCCATTCATAATGCACACTGCCTCAATAACGAGCTTTACTCCCTGGGGTGGTCGCTGCATTGCACGCACCTGTAGATTTGATCATTTGGTCCCAATTCAACAGAAAATGTTCACGTTACCAAAAGCTCATACATGAGATTATATTCCAACTATGAACTAATAATGGAGTAGTATTTGAAAAATATCTTGACCTATCATCAAATAAAACCCCTGACCTCAGTGACGTCATTCTTATTTAGTGACTTCAAACTGGTGAGGGCAGCATTTAAGGCCGGTAGAGCCTCGTCCAAGTCTCTCTGGGCATCTGCTGCAATGGTCTCTGCAATACTGGTCTTCTCTGAAGCACGTGCTTCTTCTGCCTGCACTGATTTTCGAGTCTCCTCTGAAATTGCTGTGTCTTTCTGTCAACATAAAACATAAAGCACACTCAAAGTCCACAAGTTATACAGTTGGGTTTTGGCTGCAAAGAAAACCTGATTGCACACTTTAGTGAAACAAAGTATCAGTGTCAGGGGAATTCAGGACAGAGGCATAGGTCAGGTGAGGTGAGGTGAGGTGAGGTGAGGTGTAGTAGGGCAGGGCAGGGTAAGGTAAGGTAAGGTAAGGTAAGGTAAGGTAAGACTTTATTGATCCCACAATGGGGAAATTCCAGTGTTCCAGAAGCAATAGAGAGCAAACAACAAAATCATTAGTGTATGGCTCATTTCTTTCTAACTTTATTAATATCATATTTCCTTACTTTAATGGTCTCCATGGTGACTTCAGTGTCCCTAGTAGCCTCTTCCAAAAGAGGTCTCATAGTATCCAGCTCCTCCTGCATCTTACTCACATCCTCTGCTGTGCTAAGGAGCTTACAGGATCACCATACAATACAGCACATGGTGGGACAAGAGTGGTAATTAAATATATGTACATCAATTGCACATTCATTCATACAAAAGAGGGTCGACAGCACACCAACCACTCCATTCTTCAGCGTCCTATTCATAAATTAGTTGTGCTTGTAGAAAACAACAAAAATGGTGATGATTATCGTTAACTGTGTTTGTACAGATGTTGATCATTTAAGTTTGGAAATTACTAGATTTATTCAAATGTTTGCACAAGGATTTCATAAATCATAGTAATTTGGTGGGAGTGTAACTGTCCAAATGACAGGTTTCATTTGAGAAGTGGGTTTATGTTTGTTGTTAATGGTGAGTTATTATTACTATTGAGAAATTGGTTGAAATGTCATGAATGGGATGTTAAGTGTTAGCAGAGATGGTTTTGTTGGTAAAGAGGTTTATTTTGAAGGGCAGTATGTGCCAACCATGTGACTGGAGTTGAGTGAGGGGCACCAATGTGGCATTATGGGACAGACAAAACATGGACAGAGAAGAGACATATAGCCCCATTTTCTGCACATGGTTTTAGAGGAGCAAACGTTTTCACGGTGTCTGAGGAAACACAGAGAGAAAACTAAAACGTTCTGAAGACATCTGTACGAAGCGTGGCAATCCTTAAAACTAGAACTAAACCAGTGCAGCTACACATACTGTTAGGCATCCATATCCACAAAAGTAAGGAGAGACAACCTAACACCCCAAAATACACAATATATATTATTATGATTTCTATATTAGTTATTTCTCCTTCCCAGTGTTTTACCTTGTCCAGGCCAGTCTTCATGCGCTGACGAGCACTGCACAGTTCTTTTTTCTTTTGTCCAATAAGATACAAGAAGATTTTTAGCAGTTCCAGGTAGCTCTTGGGTGTGACGTAGTTGTGTCGTGAGAGCTCAGACAGGTACTGTTCACACTTCCTGGCTACCATCTGGTGGACCTTCACACAGACTGTTGTCTGGTGAAGGGAAATAATTAAGAAGAGATGAAACATAACTTCAGTATTTTAGGATTTTGATTTTGTCTTTTTTTTAATTTATTTATTTATTTATTTTTTGCTTTTTTCAGGCAGGAAGTAGTTTCTCTTTGTTTAAACAAAGTATAAGTTAACTTTGCAAAAACTTGAGCAAGGTAATCCATCTCAGTGAGCATCTTGCTTTAACTGTTGTTTAGCTCCTATTTTGTTGCACAGTAAAAGCAGTGAAACCGTCATGATTCAACTGGATAGGAATTGAGGCCCTCAGCCTTTTTTTGAGTACATTATCTCACCTACATTGATAATCATCCCAAGACCAACAAGACACTGGATTAATTTTATTATCATGTCAGATAAGACACAAAGACCAAACTGACCAAATATGAGCCAGTAGAACATACAGTATATATAAAACTGTAAGTCTGTCTTGGACAGAGCTCCTACATTAGGCAATATAATATACTGTATGACACATTTTAGCAATGTTATTTTAAAACCTTCATGCCAATAAAACCAACAGACACACAAGCATCTTTACCAGAGCTCTCACGATCGTGGGGCTGGCTTCTAGCTCAGGCAGCTCACTAAGAAATGATGTGGCCACAGCCTGTAGAGCCTCTTCTGGCCAGGCACTGAACCAATCTATAGTACAACATGTCACCAGTGAGGGAAACTGCCTCAGCCGTGCACGAAACACCTCACCGATAGGACTGCAGAGGAAGAAATGAAGAGAAGTATAAGCAGTGGGAAGGGGAGAGAATAAGAAGGAAGGAAAACGATGGTTACGTACAGTAACCCAAGCTTCTATGAGTATAGCCTTCGCCCTCTACGAGCTGTCGCTATTGGGTTTATCCCTCGCGCATGCGCAGTCCTGAAGAGATTCTTTCGCGCCCTGTGCCCTGCACTGGGCTGTCCTCAATTAGGTCCACAGTAGTATTATAAATGCCACTGACCTGAGCTCGCCTCCCTAAAAACCAGCACTTTTTCTTCAGCTGGCGGGGGTGGGGACAGCAGGGCCACCAGCTTAGAGAAGCTTGGGTTAATGTATGTAACCATCGTTCTATTTCGTATAGGCTTCGCCCTCTAAGAGCTGTCGCTATTGGGATAAAGCGCAGCTGGATGTAGTCAATGCCCTGTTGGCACACCGCACCCAAGAGCATTAGAAAACCACATACCACAGCCTGCTAAGTACCCCACGACAGTAACTAACAGTGAGTGTGAGGAGGAGGGAGGAACCCATGCAGGGAAATAACTCTGGATCGGTAAGAGGATGAGATTATTTTAGGCGCATACGTGGGGTTTGGTCTGAGAACGGCCACGCTGCCGTCTCCGCGGATTAGGAGGCACGCCGGTGAGACAGACAGTGCACACAGATCGCCCATGGGCTTAGCCGAAGTCAAGGCTAGGAGGAGCGCTGTTTTCAGGGAGAGATGTTTGAGAGAGATCTGTGCCATGGGCTCAAAAGGAGGCCCGCTGAGTGCGCATAAAACCAGAGGCAGATTCCACTGTGGCACCACTGTGGGCATCACAGGCCTCAGTCTGCCTACACCCCTGAGAAAACATTTTACCAGTGGGTGTGCAAATACGGTTCTCTCGCCAAAACCTTCATGGCATGGTGAGATGGCGGTGGCATACGCTTTCACCGTGGACAGAGCCAGGTTTCTTTCAACCAGGGTCTGTAGAAAAATCAGCACCTGAGCCACTGGGCAGGAGGTGGGAGCTGTGCCCTTCTCCATGCACCATTGCTGAAAAGCTGACCATTTTGTGGCGTAAGACACCGTTGTTGACTGAGCTCTGGCACACTGAATAGTGTGGGGGCAATCCTATGCTCTCCAGTCGTTCCCGTTCAGGGGCCAGGCCCACAGCCGCTGACCTATCACGAGGAACTGCTGGATCGCGCCGTCTAGCTGAGAGAGTGCGTCTCCCCACCAGGGGAGTTGCCAGGCATCCCCCACCAGCAACTGAACCATGGTTGGAAACCAAGCTGTGCTCGTGCGCTCTGGAGCTATCTGGAGGACTTGCAGCCACTCGTCTTGCACGCATGAGAGGAGCCGTGGGATTAATGGGACTGGGGGGAACGCGCAGAGAAGACCTCTCGGCCAGGGGTGGTGAGCAAAGGCATCCACCCCTAGAGGCGGATTGTCTCTGGCATATAGTGAAAACCAGAGACGGCACTGCACGTTCTCGCATGCTTCGAACAGGTCTGCCACCGCTCGGCCGAACCTGTCCCACAGTGTCTGAGCTAGGGATGGATTCAGCCTACACTTGCTGGGCTAAGGCCCGCCCCGTGACATGAGGTCCGCGGCGTGGTTCTGCTTGCCGGGGACGTGCATGGCTCTGATGGAGAGCTAGTTCTGATGAGCCCAGAGCAGGAGTTTCTGTGCAATTCCCAGCAGCCGGGCCGAGCGAACACCACCTTATGTATGCGACGGCTGTTGTGCTGTCTGATCGCACCATGACGTGTCTGCCCCTCAGCACTGTGGCTTGTTCCAGACAGTTGATGTGGAGAGACGGGGTGTGATCCCACAGCCTGTGACAGACATGTGCCTCCCCAGCTGAGCAGACGCGTCTGTGAACACCGAGACGTGTGACATGGCTCTGCCCAGGGGAACTCCCCTCATCAGCACACTGGGAGTTCCCCAGTACTCTAGGTCTGATTGGACCGAGGAAGGGACTGTGAGCACGCGCCTCCTGTGGCGCACTGGGTCGAGATGCATGCAGCCGAACCACCTCTGAAGCTTCCTCATATGGAGGAAACCGAGGGGGACTACGACATGGCTGGCTGACATTGTTCCCAGTAAACGCATCACAGATAGAGCTGTTACTCTTGCGTGGGGAACAACATGGTGCAGGAGAGATGAAAGTATTTCTTGTCTGGAGGATGTCAGCTTCGCCTTCATGCTGAGAGAGTCGAGGTGCACTCCCAGGTAAGTGAGCGTCTGGGAGGGCACCGGTGAACTCTTCTCCCAATTTATTGCAAAGCCCCAGTTGTGCCAAGTGTTGTACCAGCATCACTGTGTGAGAAGCCGCTTGATGTCTGGAGCACGCCATCAGAATCATATTGTCTAAATAAAAGAGGACCCTGATTCCTGCTCTGCGTAGTGGTTCTAATGCCGCTTCCATGCACTTCAAAAAGGTGCGGGGGGCCAGTGAATAACCGAAGGGCAGTCTGTTGTACTGGAAGTGTGCGCTTTGGAAGGAGAAACACAGGAATTTCCTGTGTTTGAGAATAATAGGCACATGAAAATAAGCGCCTCTCAGATCGAAGTAATGATGAAAGTAAACCAATCGCTGGGACACACGCACTCCAGCACCTGTTTTGTGGTGAGCATATGAAACGGTCTCTGTACTATGTATTTGTTGAAGAGAGACAGATCAAGGATAGGTCTCATTTCGCCCGATCTCTTGGGAACCAGGACATAGTGCGAGTAGAAGCCCTCGCACTCCTGCCCTGGCGGAACCATGGAGATTGTTGCTTTGGTTAACAGCACCTGCAGCTCTGTCGCCAGTGCAGTGGAGCTCGCAGGTGATGTTATGACAGTCTCCAGCACACCGCTGAAAACAGGGGGGTGCCTGGAGAATTGCAGGGTGTAGCCGGTGCGAATCAGCTTGTCCATCCAATCGCTCATGGACAGCCGCTCTCGCCACACTGCGTAATACTCTGTCAGGGGACGAGCATTCGTGCATGGCGCGCTCGCGTGCACATTCGCTAACCACTGGTGCGCCCTCTCCGCCATTGCCAGAGATGAGTGTTTGCTCTGCGCAACCCATGGGAGGGCGCTGAAGAAAGGGCTGAGGGGGAAAAAGTGCCCCATGTTCAGCTTCATCACTCGCCTCCTGTGTGGGACAGAAACCGTCGCTCATACGCACGAGTGGGTGAGGAGTGGGGAGACCACACAGACTCACAGGCAGCTCTGTATCGAAACAGCGGTGTCATGCTGTGAGGGTTAGGCCAGGTACCGGCAGCTCGTCGCCCCGTATGGGCACGCCTGGAGGCATCCGGTCTGAGGAAAGAGGCAGGAGGAGGGGGAGCAGGGTCAGGCGGAGGGGGGTGCTGTGGTGCGGCGGCAGCGGTGGCCCTGACTGTGCCAGTCTGGTCGAGAAGGGAGAGATTGTTGTCGCCCCATGACGCCAGCCGACGAACTTGCTCCTCACTAGCCGCTAGCTGCCGGCGTGCAGGTGAGAGGGAGCCTCCTGGAGGTGCAGCCCAAAGAGACCTGGGCTGACGGGTCCTTCCAGTAGGCTTTTCTTAATTTGCTCTGGCATCTTGGACATATGAAGCCACATATTCCGTTGAACCATAGTGGCCCATGCCGGGATGCGAGCTGTAGCTACGGCTGCAGCGGAGGACAGCGC